ATATATATATATATATATTTATATATAAAACTTAACGTACACATAAATCATCCATCCTTACAAAAGAGAAAAAGATGCACGCTAAGTTCAGTGGCTCATGCCACATCTAACTGTATAACACAAAGAACTTAAACATACACATAAATCATACATGCTCAAACAAGAAAAAAAAGATGCACACCGAGTTCAGCATTTCTCAAAATATATATATCTATCTAACTGCATAACAAAAATGCCGAGCAATTAAATCCAGAAAATCAAACAATGATAAAGAAGAAGGTAGTAAATAAATCATCAGCTACATGTTTGTCCACTTGGAGCAAAACAAACAAGAAAAGAATAATTACCATAATTCTAAACCGATCCCTATCGATGTAGAGAAGGATCATCGATATAAATTTCATGCATTTTTGAAATTCCTGTTGTTTTTTATATTCAATTTCCTCTCCTCCCCAAAAAAAAAAAAAAAAAAGAAAACCAATCAATTTGATAAGTAGATAAGATTTTCTCAAGGCAGTTGAGGAAATCTCTAAGCAGTTGAGAAAAACCCTTCATGCTGAATGTGTATAACCTCCCTGCTGAGTGTGTATAAATAGTTATCAAGAGCTCACTATCAAAATGAACTAGACAATTACATTTTATACATTTCATAGTTTCTTTTACAACTTCTTTCTATATTCTTCGTTTAATTCTTATCATGGTATCAGAGCCACTTGTCTAGAGCACTGCCGACTCATCACTGCAAAAGAAAAGGCTTTAATTCTTATCACAATTGCCATTGAAAAAAATCACAAAAGATTATTCCACAACAGGAAGAACCAAACCGAGACCACAGAATCACAAGAAGCAAAAGAGAAAGTAAAACAAAAAAGGAAATCCTAGAAGCAGAGTTGCCACAGAAAACAGAATTCGTTCAGAAACCAAATCCTAACAGGAAAAGGATGACTTGTTGAGAGAGAGGAGAGGAGAGGGATTGGAGGCGCAAACCAAGGGGATGCTCCAACTTGAAAGAATTCTTGGCCATCGTGGGGTTGGAATCCCCCTGCAATTTCCAAAAAAAGCACACGAGCATCGGCACACGAACAGGACAATCCAACTCTGAAATAACCAACCAAAGAAAGCACAAAATAAAACATAACCACGGATCGTTGGAGGAGACGCGTACCGACTCAGGTGGAATGATCGAGTTTGGACTCCATCGATCCAGGGATCAATCGCAGGGGAGAATTCTTCGTCACGAAATTGAGAGAGAGAGAGAGAGAGGGTGCGTTGGGCGTGTTTCCGGAAATTGGCTGGGATCGGGAGGCGTGTGCGTGCAAATAATTGATAGGAACAATTTAATGGAATAGCTTTGCTATGATTTGTTATTATATCGTGGTCGATGTCGATGTCGATGAACAAACACCTCCTCTCCTTTTTATCTTCCAACGACAGACGAGATTCTTATATCACCACCGCTGACCATCTCATTCGCATTCACTGTTCCTATCAAACTAATCGTCCACCACCGCAGCATGAAAAATTCTCGACCGCTCGTCATCGGGCTCGCACGCAATTGTCCATTTTGACACACACACACACACACACACACACACACACACGTATTCATGATTAATGTATTCATCAATCTTCTGATGGTTATGGAATTGTGCTGAAGTTGTAACAACAGTGCATGTTATCTTTCCTTGGATCAGAGTCCATGATTAAACTGCTGGCCAACTTGAAGATCGTTCGAGTCTTCCAGTATCTGTACCTATACCTGTGTAAGTATGGCTAAGATCATCATTGTCTTGGTTATCTTCTCTGGTATGTACACCTGTTCCTGTACCTGTCTCTTTGGTACGTACTATACGTTTATGTGGTGAATTTGATGATTTTCTTTTTTATAGTTTTTCTAGTAATACACCAAACCAGCAAGCAACAATATATATATATATATATATATATATAGATATCCAAGTTTGGTTATTTCTCTAATTTGTTCTGCATCATCAGATCATCTTTCTGCATGATAATTGTTCCCATCAAAGTTTTGAAAAAGAGACGAGGAGGGACATTAATTATTTCAATGCCACGTATACACCGACAAGTATTAATGCACCCACTTTCTGAAACCACCTACTTAGTATATATTCATGAACTTAGCGTAACTCAAGTTGGCTTGCAAAGTGCACAAGGATCGAGGTTAACTAACTTTTTTTATGTTTAAACAAGTCGGAGCAGTATTATTGGAGGTGAATTGTTTAGAAAGAATAATCATTGTGAAGTCCACATCAAAGCAGATGAGATGTTCCATCTCCCAAAAAGGTTCACCTAATTGATCCACCACACCAATGCTTTCCGATGACATTTCAATGCAAAAAAGAAAAACCTCATCTTTGTTCCTTGTCAATGCATGGCAGAGATGTGCCCCTAAGCATCATTTGTTGGCATCAAACCTCCTCTTTTGAGGGATTCATTCATGGCCTCGGGGGGACATACTCTCCCATCATTCTGTATCGATTCAACCCCTTCCTTGCCTGCTCTCACCTTTCAGCAGTGGGAGAGCGCACACAAAGAAAGAGATGGTGATATTTTTATGCGGCAATTCCATCTTGGTCATCATGACACACAAAGGGCAAGAGGAACAAAGAAAGCAAGACTTTCAAGAACAAAGCCACTCGGCTGAAAGCTCCCCCCTCTCTCTGCTCCCGTCACCTCAGACGTGAGAGATATAACAAGTAGCTGTAGACTCCACTTGTTGGAGTTCTGAACCAAGTGACCAATCCCAACTCCCGTCACCTCAAATTCCCAGGATAAGGTGACACGCCGACTGTCCTATCCCTCATCTCCTCCCAACTCGCAGTGGAATTGCCACCCAAACCAAACCAAACAAAAAACTATTTACCATACGAGGAAAAAACAAAAAACAAGCTTTGATACACGTACCCTTTCTGTGGGGTGAAAACGCATATCCATATCCATTCTTCTTCGCTTGCGTCATGTATGCATCAGACTAGATCGATGGTTGCCCCTCGCTCCCCCGGGTCACCCTTGCTCGAGCCTTCCTTCGTTGTCCTCTGGGCATTTGTGTCACTCCGCTACTTCTCCACACTACTTTTTCTTTAATTTATAGGTGTGATGGTGGGGTGCAATAAAGAAACCCATCCATCTGTTTAGTGCTGCCATCTCAAGAAGCCTATAGACTAGTGATGTCTCCTTTGGTGGACACAAGCCTGATGAAGCTGGGTAACCAGGAGGGAAGGGGTGATCGGAAGGAGGTCCTCAACTTCCCCGGCTCGTAATTCTTGTTTAGCTAGCTTTAGTAGATATGGCAGATGGGTGCGAGTATGACGAGGACTTTGAGGAAGAGGAGGTTTGGGCTGTTATGCCGGAGATGAAAGAAGCGAGACCCAAGGATTCATCTTGTGCCTCTTCATCTTCATCTTCTTCTTCTGCTAGGCGTCTTCTGACTGGTGCAAGAATGATACCCAGGTCCAGTGCTAACTCGGAACCAAGCGGTAGATCCCTCAGACGATCTGCTCCCGTTCGCATCCCTGAGTGGCCCAAGGTTTACAAGCATGGTCAGAGACAAAGCTTTGGAGCTCACGGCTACGAGGATGAGTTCCATCGCCGCGGCGGCAGCCATGAGAATGTTGATGAAGAGGAGGAGGAGGATGATGATCGTAGAGCCCCCCCACATGAATGGCTCGCGAAGAAGATGGCTAGGAGCCAGATCTCGTCCTCCTCGGTCTTTGAAGGGGCAGGGAGAACCCTCAAGGGGAGAGATCTCAGCAAGGTGAGGAATGCTGTGCTTATAAAGACTGGTTTCTTAGAGTAGGATGAGATGTAAAATAGGTTGCTTCCCTTCTCTTTGGCCTGACAGCCAGCATTGAGATTTTGTTGTGTGTTGCGGGAGGAGGAGATGAGATGTTCTTCTCTTACTCTGAAACACCGGGCATGTAGAACCAGTTAACGACCTCCCTCCCTTCGCTGCCATGTACAAGGAATGTTTTTTTTAGTCTTGCACAAACCGGGTTGCTTCCTTCTTCTTCTTCTTCTTCTTCTTTTGTTGCCAGCGACTAGTTTTCCCTACCATGTGCACTCTCTCTCTCTCTCTCTCTCTCTCGTTTTCAGAAGCGGTCGTATTAATCACATAAGCATATAAATATAAATAAATAAATGCATAGTTGCGTGTTGTGCTCGTAATGCTACTGACAATAAAGGACCCACTACTACACTAATCAAGATAATAATGTCCCGAACTGGTTGTACAGTCACCTCCATGCGACAGTTACGTGGCTTTTAGCAGAGGTTAACCGTATCTTCCTGAGAATGGATTGGCTTAGTGGTTGCACAACAGCCAGCCTCTTTTTGCCTCCAATCAGCTGTTTAGTATACATACATGATACAAAAATGTTAGATATGCTTAAACCATTAAATCCCGAACACAGATTGCTGCAGTCATACATGAGTTGTATAGCATGATTTGAAAGCTTGGCTTACATGGCTCGATATCTTAGACAGCAAGTAGGAAGGATAGGAAGGTAGAGACACAAGTAGACGAGCGCTTCCCTGTATATGAAATAAAGTGGACTGAATCAGCAAGCGGTGATGGAATTCCAGAGACGTTGGACATATTTCTGAGGCTAAAGATGTCGATACTGTTACTGTTGCACCATTCATTACAAGGTAAGCTTTTCCTATTTGAACTTCAATTACCTTTGGATCTGTCGGTCTACCAAACCGAGTCCATGACATGATATATCATAATAGATAGTCGACGAGCAGTGGCTCCCCTGCTACATACAGTATGTGAAAACTTATCTGCATATGGCCTCATCCATCAAAGTTAAAGAAATAGAACAATACTCGTGCATCACAAAAACATGATCATGAGATACCTAATGACTCAAAAGCCTGCGACCTCCAGTAAGCTACTCACAACAAGTTTGTGACAGCGGTGATGCCTGGTGATGCCGATGCTACCATACTATTTCTATCATGGCCGTTTCACAGAGTAGCAGTCGACCATAAATTTATATAAGCCTGACAAATGATGCTCCCCGTCTTTTACTAATCCTGAGAGGAGAGAACAGACAATGCCAGTCAACTCATGAATATTACCTGACCCTTTATCAATTGATGCACCAGCACAGATACGAACTCCCATCTCTCAATCACACCGTCATATTATATGACATGCACAATGGTCGCACTTAGCGAACGATGACTAGTGGAGTCACGCTCGGATGCTCTAACTGTCCAGATAACTGAATGTCAGCGACGAGCTAACCTATAAGGTTGATATGATCTTCATACTCTGTCATCTGGCATGGCCGCAAGAAGCAGAAGATGGGGACACAAATCAAATGTATCAGTTCCAACTACATGAAGAAGTATCTGTTGAAACAAAACTAAAATACCTGTGTTCATGAGAAGAATCCCACCTTTCCTTGAAGCTAGCAACTGTATGACCGATACCTGTGACATCTGATCGATTCCATCGAATGAATGTTCTGTTCGATAGGACAAATTGTTCTGTGACAAGTTGAAACAAACCATCAAAATATAAGTAAGAGCTAGCTCTATTGTTCTAAGAACTTGTATATCCACAAACCCATATTACTTCTCGGGAACCTACTGCAAATGGATAGAGCTCTGCCCCTCCACATCTGCAGACTTCAATGATTAGATCCTCTGATAATGCTGGTCCATTGAATCCCAACTCGCTTAGCATGCCAACCGCGATAGGCTTGTCGTGAAATATCCTCATTTGGTCCACCGTCCACCATAGGAGATGAACTTACAACAAGAAGCCACTTGAGCCACTCTGCTCTATGAAGCACAAATCACATGTATCTAATGCATTAGAGAAGAAATTATATAGAGGACCACTGATGCACCCATTAAAACTTTCAGGAAGTCTATTATAGTAAGGAGCAAACCAATGAGCGACTCAAAGTAAGATGCAGAAGCCAACAGCAAAATTGCAAAATGCAACTTATTCTTCAAAGAACATGTTCCACTAACGATTGCAAAATCATATTATCGAGATCTTGATATATTATGAATTCTCTGGCAATTTTTGTCCTCACAACTCTTTTTGTTGTAGTCTTATGATAGCAAGAAAGATTGTTTAGAAAGCTACAAAACTTAACATGCCTAGTGTAACAAAGCAACTGATCAGTGGTTGGTGGCGCCAACAAAGAAAGAATGGAATCAATAATATTTCATTGAAAAAGAACCTATATTCTGAAATCCACAGGTAGGTGAACCATGACAAGGACACAGCCAATTTATCAACCGAAAGAATATGCATAAACACTATCACAATATATAATCCAGCATTATAGTGTATCCACGGACCTCTATTCTTATAGGACAGTCATATCAAATATAATGGTTATTAAGATAATCAGGTAGTTAATTATACACTAGGGACCATCAAATTAACAGTAGTTCCTAGTTTGATTGTTGGTTCATAATTCAATATTTAGTTTGAAGAAAAATCAGTAGAGTAGCAAACGACGGCTAGAGAAAAAAATATATATACAATTCTCAGTGGAACCAAAGTGTGTCTTCATGCTGTATCACCCAAGGTTGAGGTTACAGAACTCTAGAAAGATACCATAGAAACCCATTGATAAGCTAGAATTCTCATTAAGGTAAGAACAATATCTACAAAAGTGAATCAAGATCATCGTTGTCAATGGCAGGAACATTAATCATCAAGGTTTACTTCTAATTAACATGATTTTAGGGGTTTGAAGTGATTTGCATTCTTCTTTCTGGGTTTAGGATTGGATCAAGAACCCTATTGTGAATACAGATTGGATTGGAGGAAGTTATTAAGTCATTGGGGATGAATGAATTAGTCAAACTAAGTTTTTTCCTCCATGTGATGTGCGTTGTGGTGGCCGAATATCTACTTTTTCTCTCTCTATTCTGCTTTTTGTTCTCTCCTGTCTCTCTCATAAGTATGCTGCTGCCGGTTCATGTTTCCCCTTACTCATTAACCTACAACAGACCCTTTTCTTGCCGTTCTTTCTATTCAACAGGTATATATCTGCGATTTGGGATTCAGGAAACCAAAATTCTGCTGATTTGCAATAAAAACCAGAGGAACACCTTTTCAACAATAAATAGACATCAACAATGTCAAATGTTTTGTCTACCGAGACGTCTCCTTCTCGATTAACTTGGCAATGCACGCAGACAGACTGGTAGCGTCGAAAGAAACCACAGAACATCATCAGACCTAGTAGAACTAGTTGATCATCATCCCAATACCCTAATTCCCAGGTAATGGTAACGATCAAGAAGTGGGCGCTCGAGAGTCAAGACAACGAGAGAGAGATGGCGAACGCGACATCGGTCGGGGAGTCGCCCTTACCTGAGCTGGAGATCGTGCTTGGTCGTCTTCGTCTCGACAGTGGCCACCGTCGGGATCTCTCATCCTCGGTGGCCATCGACAGGAGCGTCGGAAGAGAAGCATCGGGCACTATTTTGTGGGAGTCGGGAAAAACAAAGATCAAGTAAGCACGCGCAGTGTGCGTGCATACATGAATATTACTGTATGCACGCCTTCTGTGTGAGGACGTCCAGTTTGCTCCTCACGACATCCAACCCATCCTTCATCTCTTTCAACAAGGCCACGAGCTGAGGAGAGTCCCTAAATCGATTAGGGTCCCAGACCAAATATAAAGAAACCATCAGAAAGGCTAAGAGAGGGGATGAAAACATAGAAGACTGAGTATCCGAGAAGGCACACCTCGTTAGGGGCAGGGCAAGGGATTCCTCGCCGCCGCTTCTCGACTCGTGGTGGTCGCTCATAATCCCACCGAGGGCAAGGCGACGGCCTGTCAGGATGAAGCACCTGGCAGAGGAGGCCGGTGGAGGTGGGATTCCAGGAAACAGAAGCCGGAGTCTTTAGACGAGAAGAACGAGGCACCGAAGTACGGCGGCGGGCAGCGACGCGGGCGAGAGTCGAAGGGGTGGGGTTTTGGAGATTTGGGAAGAATCGAAAACCTACTCCACATGAAGCTTGGTTAAAGCAAGGGTCA